AAAAAACAGCTTAGTGAGGTTTAGAAAATAAAATAAAATAAGTAATAGGGTTAAAATAACCTTTGCTGTCATAGTTAATTAGTTTAATAATAAACATGAGTTTGCCAAATTTTTAGATTCACCCAGTTCTTTTATCTGAAGGCCCCAAGAAGTAACACTCAGGAAACAAGAATCAGCTTTACGTAGATTTATTTTTTTCTGGTTAAATGCCGAGTTATTACAGCACTGGGCTCTGTGAGATGACAAATCCCAAGAGCCCTGATAATAGGAAGTAATTCACATTTATCTTCTCGGGCTGGGACTGCCCTGTACATGGGTGGAACTCATACGTACTCTTAATCTGTTTGCTCTACACTCACAACATGAACTGGACACAAGGTTCATACAAGGTTCATGCAAATAATCTAGAATGTTCAGGTGTTTCTTTCTAACTGAAAGTAGACATGCAGTTAGCTGTTTCACTTACTTCTCTAATTCTGTGATAAAAAGCCCCTTACTCATGGTTCATGAGTGACATGAGTGACCGGTACAAAATTAACAGCATCTTATCTATGGTTTCCAGAATGACACTTATTTCTGCAATTGATTTATGCACATTTCACCAAGAAGACAAGAAATACCACTAGTTGACTCAAAGCTGAATATTATGACTATGATGCATGCATAAGAGCTAGGTTAATACTGATACATGGAGGTGCTAATGAAACACAGACAATTAGTCATACTGAACTCTTCCATTATAAAAGCAAAATAATATTGATAATAAGTAGAAAAATAACTGTAACTCCTGAAATCCAATCCTAACAATCCCCCCTTTGACATGATTTACGTATGGCACTGAAGTTCGGCATATGTGGCACTTGGTGAAGATGAGCTTTAAGTTGTAGCTAGTTGCTTTTTCAACTACTTTGCACAGGATTGCATCATGCTCTTCCATGGTGGGGGCTGCAATGAGAATATCATCCATGACACTTATAGCTCCTGCTATTCCTTCTAGCATTTCATCCATGATGCACTGAAATATTTCAGGTGCACATTTTAGGCCAAAAGGGAGTCTGAGCCATCTGTACCTTCCATTTGGGGTATTGAAGGTTGTGAGGTAGGATGATGCGTCATCCAGTTTGATCTGAAGGAATCCTGACTTGGCGTCAAGGACTGTAAAGACTTTGGCACCAGGCATTGTGGAAATGACTTCATCTATGGTGCGCATTGGGTGGTGCTCTCGCTTTATAGCTTTATTCAGGTCACTTGGGTCTATGCCAGGGGTCGGCAAGTTGGCGTGGCCTCGGGGCATTTTTTCCTACATCATCAGATGGCGGGCCATCAATATATTATATCAATATATCTTGCAATTTAAGGATAATATATATACATAAAAATATAAGCATTGTGCTGACTTGTGACGAAGTATACCACTTCTCATCGGGTTCCAGATGATGGAAAGAATATTTAGTCACACAAAATACCAAAGTGCACTTAATTACCTTTTTATTCACAGATGCGCATCTGGAGATCATAGCAGCAGCAGCCAAGATGATCTGATCTTACATCTCTAACACTGTGTCTTATATACTATTCTTCCCGCCTCCTTACATTCCTTAGGATGCAGCTGAGATCAATCAACACTCAACCAAAGTTCTATCCCACCATACACAGTGCTTATCTCATGACACTTGTCTTCCTCCCTAAAACTAAGGTACTTTCCTGTGATCAAAAGCACACATACACATAATGATTACATGAACACTCAGTAATGCTGAGAAAGCTAAAACTTATCCTTATCAGTTCATTAAATATAAACAGTGGAGTGTACCAGACATCTTTATGTCCACTGTTTTCAATCATTTGCTTTTTCCTGTGACTCCCTTCATGTGAAGCAGTGCTAAGCACTACTCCCAAGACTGCATTTCAGTGTTAGAGTGAACACACATTTCAGTTGATTAATACATGGTTGAAGGTTACATTCTTGTTCAGTTCAATTATATGAAACGGTGCCCATACTTCAAACTCAGTGAAAGTTACATTCCATATAAGTGCATAAAGATACCAGTGTTTTCTACAATACACACTCTTATGCGTGCACAGTGAACAGTGTTGATGCTTGAATTGCAATGTCTCACACAGTTAATATCTCAGACTTGTAAAAGTAAATGAATAAACTAATAAAATAATTACATAAATAAAGAAATATTATTCCCGCCCCCTCATCTGCAATGTTGTTGTCCATATTTGCATAGTTACAATTGGCTCCACATCGGTAGATGAGGCAGCGTTTGAAATGAAGTTAATTGATTTCCAAGCATCCTCCCTGGTCAGCACTGCACTACAAGGCGCGGAGTCTGTGTGCACATTCTGGCTCGCGTGCTCTGACAATTACAGCACATTCAAGAAGCTTGCTTTTTATGTGCTTACAATGTATCCTTCCACCTACACCTGTGAGGCAACATTCTCGTCAGTGGATTGCATAAAAATGCAGGAGAGAAACCGAGTGATGCATAAAAACTTGCAGAATGCCCTGCGCATTAAAATGACATCTCTAACACCCGACATACAGAAAATGGTGAAAGAAGGGAAATACCAGTTTTCCCACTGAGTCTTTCAAATGTTGTAGTTATCGATCCGTTTTTTTTGTGCTCATTTTGGCCGTTCTGTGTTTCTGTCTTTTAGGATCACATTGAATCCCGCTTCAAAAGTCCTCCAGATGAAGCAGTGGTCACTGTTCATAAAAACAAATGCATAATAATAATTAAGTTGTTATAATGATAAAGAAAGTGTCTGAATATGTCCTTTATTTAATTTATATGCTCAGCTTCATGGATGTGAGTGCAGCAGTGACACAACACAGAGTGGTTCTGTCACGGCAAGCTGCAGCACAGTGCGGGAGAGGAGGGGAGGGGTTACAGAGCGACTCACAGTGAACCTTTGAAAGTGTCAAATTGA